CCCTCTTCGGCACCTGTAGTCCCAACATCTTCTCGATGGCGAGTGAATAGCACTGTTCGTTACACATCATCGACACGTAGTCCAACCGATCCATGTATGGCAGGGCCTGAGTGTACGTCTTGTACTCCATTAGCTTCTCAGTGGCCCTATGGAGGAGACCGATGTGCGGGTCGGCTCTCAATACCACTTCCTCCAGAGCGCAACTCAATTCGAGCACCAATCGGAGCACTCCGTGAGCGCCCGGATGTTGGGGTCCGAAGTTTAACGTACAGGGACGCACGTGTCTCTCCATTGGTGAGCCATCCGGATGGTCGGCATCCCAGCCCTCCCAACGGGCGGAGTCGTCCGGTACCAGACATTTGTTGTCCTTATAGGCAATGGTTTCGCCGGCGAACTCTTCCATGTATTGCTTGTCGGGGAACCACTTCTTGGCCCTCAAGCGGCGCTGCGAGTACTGTTGGCCATCAGTGATAATGCCCCTCAAGTCCGGGTGTTCGGGCCCTTTGTCGCCGTAGTCGGGGTAAAGGTTCGGCCGGCGATAGTCTTTGAGTGTGTCGCGACCGGGGGTCCGGTCACTCATGCCCGCCACCGACCACTTGTTCGTCACCCAGTCTTTGGTCTTCAATAGGCGGTTGAAGCTGATGGCCATCGCTGTCACCACTGGCGACGGCACTCGTAATAGTTTCCACATGTTTGCCAGTGTGTGTGAGCGGCTAAAACATTAGACCCATTTATAAAATACCCTTGTAACTTTTTAACTAACGCATTACCTGTTAATTTAGTTTAACCGCGGCTTTTTGCCAATGATCTATCGGTTAATCACGTTATTTATGAGCTATTTAGGGGTTATTGGCGTTAAATTAGAGAATTTGTACCCAATTCTTGCATTACATCATCCGTCACAGCATTATGTTATATAAATGCCTATTTTGTTATAACCCGTCCCCTCCCCCACCCCTCCGACTCCACCCACACATCAATTTACAGAACAGTGCAGTGCAATGTGTTTACCCATAAAAGTTAGTGCTTTAACAGGGGTTGTTGTAAATAAATTCATTTACATTTATTATTAATTATTATCATAATTCAATTTCAATTAATTAATCGCTACCAATATTACAAGTTTGTTGTTTTTATCATCAAATAAATAATTTTGAGAAAAACAAAACCAAACAAACAATTTCAAAATAAAACACTATATATACGGGCGAAACACCGGTGAGAGCGCATCAATGGAGGGGCTCAGACCCCGCAACCACACGCGCCCACACCGACACCACAGCCCTCTATGAACCTAACGATCCACTTCGCCAAACACGATATCCATTGTGCCGATAATGGCCACAATGTCGGCCAACAGTAGGCCGCGGCCCATGTAGTCGAGTGCGGACAAGTGGGCAAATCCGGGCGCTTTGATTTTGCACCGATAGGGTCGGGACGAGCCGTCGGACACCATATAGAGGCCGAACTCGCCCTTCGGTGCCTCAATGGCCGTATATGTGGCGCCTGCGGGCACATTGTAGCCCTCGGTGAACAGTTTGAAGTGATGTATCAACGCTTCCATCGATGACTTCATTTCCGCACGAGTCGGAGGAACCACTTTGTTATCATCGCTGCGGACCTCACCGGCGGGCATACGGTTCAGACATTGAATTATAATGTTTATCGATTGTCTCATCTCTTCTATACGGCACAGGTATCTGAGGGTTAAGTAGAAAACACAATCAAAATTAATACATAGATAATAAACGCTAACTCGAGTGGTCAGACAACTCGCACCACAAGCCCTACACATACCTGTCATAACAATCGCCGTTTAGACCAATGGGTATATCGAAGTCAAAGTCCTCGTAACTGTCGTAGGGCTGGGTTTTGCGTAAATCCCATTTGATTCCCGACCCGCGAAGCATAACACCACTCATTCCCCAATTCAACGCGTCTTCAGCCGATATCACACCGATATCAACGGTACGGGCCTTCCAAATGCGGTTATCAGTCAACAGGTCCTCCACTTCATCCACCCGTTCGGGAAACTGTTCGGCCCAACGGTAGATGTCGTCCATAATACCGATTGGCAAGTCTTGAGCCACACCTCCCGGCCTGACGTACGCCGCGTGCATACGAGCGCCGCTAACCCTCTCGTAAAACTCCATTAACTGTAACATAAAAATTAATTAAATAAATTGAAAATAACTCTCTCTCTCTCTCTCTCTCTCTAAACACTCACTTTTTCTCTCTCCTCAAAGAGCCAGAAGAATGGTGTGAGGGCTCCGATATCGAGGGCATGGGTTCCGATACCCATCAAGTGATTCAAAATACGGGTAATTTCGCCAAACATGACCCGAATATACTGAGCCCTCTTCGGCACCTGTAGTCCCAACATCTTCTCGATGGCGAGTGAATAGCACTGTTCGTTACACATCATCGACACGTAGTCCAACCGATCCATGTATGGCAGGGCCTGAGTGTACG